CCCCACCCCAATTTCTACTACATGAGCAGTTAGTTCTAAATTGTCAGTAGAGAGTAACTCGGAAAGATCTAGGTGCTCTCCTCAGAAGGGCATCCAGCAGGTGTTTCATAAATGTTTATTGGGTGCAGTAGTTCCACCAAGTCTGTATTTAGGACTGGCCGGTCTCTCTCTTTCTCAGGCTGATTTGAATCATCTTGGCATGAAGCAACAATATGCATTTTTAAGATAATTTCTGTTTCCCTGAGGTTTGGGGCAGGGAAATTGAGTGGGCGGCGGACAGCCACATCCGGAGCCACATGCTGCCTGCCAGCTTGCTCCTCCTCGGCCGGGTGTGCGCTGGGGAGGGCGGGCGAGCTCTGTCATCTGGTGGGAGAGGGCCCGCTCCCATTCTAGGGGCCTTCCCAGGGCTTCCTCAGGAATTCTGACTGTTCCTGCTTATTCCCTGGAGACGTGACTCACTCCGGGCCTCTGCGAGGGGGCAGTGAGTCAGCCGGGGCCCCACTTCTTTCCCACATGGGTTAGTCACCGCACGTTCTACAAATGAGAAAACTGGGGCCCGAGTGGTCTATATAAACTGTCCAAAGTCTATGCAGTGGGAGAGTCAACAGTGAGACCAAGAAGTAAAACTGTTCGGTCTGACCTTGCAATCTCTGCTCTTTATTATCCTGCCTAAAAGCCAGAAAAGGGTCTGGAAGGCTACACTGCAGGGGGATGGGGAAGGAATTTCATTTTTTTCTGTATAAAATTATATATATGCACATACTGTTTTTAAAAACCTAATTTAAAAAAAGTATAAAACTAAACAGCCACAACATTGAAGAGACAAATCACAGAGGTTATCTATTCTCTTTAAAAATTATCCATTTTCCACTTTAAAAATTATCTGAGACAGTGACTAGGTATCAAGTCTAAACAACTTTGAAATGTAGGAGACAAATAACACAGAAACCAGTGACCTAAAAATGTCTTCCCACACTGAAAATGATTTTGCATCTGGAACTAATATTGCAGGAGGTCCTTGCTGTGTATCTGGTGGCTCTCTAGGCACAGCTGTTGATGGATTAAATAATGAATGACTAAGTGGGCCACCTCCACGGCAGTTTTTGCAACTTCTCTTCATGAGGCCCGGTGCCTTCTGCAAAGGGAGGGCCCTCCCGGGGGGCTGTGACTGAGTTATGCCAGCATCATTCCGTCTGCACAGTTGGGCAACTGTAAGGCTCTCGCCCAAAGCCAGCGTGATTTATTAAGGTCCCTGGAATCCCTGATGAAACACGCTGTGCCGAAAGAATCCTATTACTCATACCTTCCCATTGCTGCCCTCTCCTCAGCACTTTTTTCCAGTCTCTCTCTTTGGGGCACCGCACTCCTTCTTCCCGGTTATTATGAGTCCTGCCTGACACATTCCGTTTACTGACAGAGACGCAAATGTGAGAAAAACCTCCCTTCTATTTTTAAAAGCTGCTTCAAGATCCACAATTCTGAGGTTGCTGGTGGCTCTGGCATTACCGTTTCATCTGGATAGAATTCTGGGCGACTAGAATAGAAAGGGGCCCCACTCCAGCTGTTTCTAGTACAGCTTTTGCTTTCAGAGTTTGTTTCTCACCTTAGAAAATGCTCGAGGCTTGTGAAATACTTATATGTCCTAGGTGTCACCTGATCAACAAGAACAAGGAAAGCACACACATGCACATACACTCACAAAACCCACTGCTTTGTGGATGTGTAAAATATAAACTGACATTTATTTTTGTTTTAGCTCTTAAAATTAATTGTGTAATGAGAAATTTGCTGAAAGAAGTTGGGGGCTTGAGAAAAGATCTATGTGAGTAGAAAATACCAGAAAATGTCTCAATAATTTGCATTTAAGAGGAAGAGACACTGGGGAATCTGCCTCCCCCACTTCTTCCCACAGCTCCCAGGATGAGCTCTGGGGCACAGAGGTGGCCCCAGTGCCTGTGGGATACGGGCTGTGTGAGTGCAGGGCTGTCCATGCAGTGGCCAGAGCCCACCGCACAGTCTCCCTAGTCCCTCTCATATAGGCGCCCATAGAGTGCTGCCGTCACCAGGCCAGAGGACAGTCCACCCTTCCTCAGGAAATAGTGGTCATTCTCCCAGCCGAGCTGGTCAGGGGTTTCCAGGGTCATCCCTGAGGTCAGAAACAGAGGGAAGATATAGGAAGTACTGAAGTTCCCCCACAGGTGAAACTCAAATAGTCCCGTGGCCTCTGTGATCTCCTGCCCGCAGGTGTCAAAGCCAAGACCCCCACATTTGACCAGGGCACAAACTTGAACATAGTAAGTGCCATGTATGGTGTGGAGGCCATCAAAGACCCCCAGGGCATACAGCTCTTTGGACAAAGTGGGCCTCTGGTAAAGCAAGTAACAGCAGAGGCCATTCGCACAGACTCGGAGATAGCCTTCCTTTCCCCACACAGGGACCAGGGTGAAATTGTCGTACATCATCTCAGAGTAAAATATGGGAGGAGCATTCATGTTCCACTTGGTGGCTCCATCACAATGGACTTCTTGAGCATCCTTTTCACAGTATGGATCACCTGCCAAGATTTTTAAAAACTTAGTATGGGATGGGTCCATTTTACCTGTGGCATTCTCTGTACCAATGAGACCCAGTGGATTTTTGGCTACCTGGGCAATTATAAGGTGACCTTTGGAGTTTTCCATGTCATGGTGCCAAAAGGACTTCAGAGGGGTATGTATGCCACTTCCAGTCATCCCCAGAGACTGGTGGTGGATGTTAGCAGCCAGAAAGTTGACGCCAAAGGCAATGGCAAAAGCACTCTGAATCTGAATAGCTGCCAAGAGCGGGAGCTGGTTCATCCAGGCGGTCGGATACACAATGTGCTTCACCTCAGAGTCTCTGACGAGTCTGATGGCAGGGTCGAAGAACAATATATCAAAGCAAGTGAAGACACCAAACTTGCCAGCAAAAGGGGTATCGAAGATGATGTGATCCACTTTGAGAGGGGCATCAAAAGCTGCCTCAAAGTAGAGGTTTTGTTTGCGGTAGCGGTCAACAAGGGTTCCATTACTGCTGAACACAACATTCGTGTTAAACTGGTATCTTCCATCATTTGGGCACCCTGGGTCACTGCTGTGACAAGGCTGCTTTGTCCCGAGATTGGCCACCAGGAACATCTCTCCCTTGATGGCCATACAACTCAGGCGCTGGAGGACCTAAAGAAAAAGAAAGGTATAAATAAATGGATTTTTAAAATCTTACCTTTTGCCTTATAATTTTAAAATAGGAAAGTACCTGTATTGTGTCCATAATATATACACAGCTATCATAAATCAATAAAAAAGCAACTACTACCGAAAACATGCAAAGAATATGAACAAGTGATTCATAGAAGAACAAATGGCCAACAAACATCTGAGAAGATGCTCAACCTTATTAGTAATAAGGAAATGCAAATTAGAATAATAATGAGATACCATTTTTCACTTTCATAAGATTGGCAAAAATTCAAAAGATTATTCTATCTTGCATTGACCAAAGGGTGGGAAAACAGGCACTCATACACTATGACTGGGGATGTAAAGTGAAATCATAATCTTTTAAAGGGGAAATTTGGTACTCTCTAAAATAATCTAAGATGTGCATATCCTTCAGATGAGAAACTCATATCTAGGAATCTTACAGAAAAACTTGGACATGTTTACAAAAGTATGCAAACAAGGATATTCATTGAAACATTGTTTATAATAGCAAGCATTAAAAAAAACAATAAGCATATAGCATGCTAAAAAAGATGTCAATAACTATGAAATGCATAGAAAAGACTATAGTTGGGATGCACATCACATCGTTGATGGCAGTTTCTCTAGGAAGGGAAGTAGGAAGAAGGGTGGGGTGTGGTGAAGGTGGGCTTCTATTTTGTCACTTCTGTTTGATTTGCTTGTTTTATAAGCATATATCCATGTATTTCTTGCGGAATTAATAAATAGAATGACCAATTGATGAGTAAATGCCTCATAACACAAGACATTATTTACTGACTGAATGTTGGCACATGCAGTTTGGGGAGTTTGAGTTGATTGTTAGGATCTGAGGGTCTCCTTTCAGCCTCATTTAACATATCTTGGCTTTTGGCCCCCGGCGTGGTTCATCTCTACATGCTTTTGGCCTACTGAGGAGGAAAGCTGGGACCCTCACACACCTCTGTGTCGTTGAATCGATGGGGCTCCAGGCATGGGTTCCATTTGACCAAGCGAGGAGACGGCATGAAATCCAAAAATGGGTAAATGGATGTTCTTGTAAAGTTGAATCCATGAATGCCATCTTCTGGAAACACTATAATCTGTACACCCTGTAAGTCAAAAACATCAAAGTAGAATATGTTACCAGATAATGGGAAGCACCACTTCATTCGTTTGTTCATTCTTTCATTCATTCATCTGAGAGCCATCAAGCAGTTGCTCTGTACCAGGAACCAGAGGTAAAAAGATGGCGGCTGGACTCTCATCAGCTATCTTAGTCTTGGGGAAGCCATCATATTTGGCCTGATTCTGAGAGAATAAAGACAAAGTCTTCTAGGAACAACCATTAACTGTGTACGTGGGGCATGTCAAGGAAGGAGGGAATGAGTGAGCTTGGCTGAAGGGAGCAGGAGTTTGCCAAGCAAACAGTTAGTACAGGTTTGGAGTTCTTGGTGGTGCAACGGGAGATGGGGCCTATTATAAAAGGCCTTGAATACTGAGCTCATTAACAGACGTAATATCTCCAGTCCAGTGGTTTTCAACCTTCATTGTTCATCTAAATCAGATGGGCAGCTTCTGAAAAAACACTCTTTGTTTAGGGGTGATGCTGGGGGCCACCCCAAAAAGTCTGCCTTAATTGATTGTGGGTGGGGACCTGGTAACAGTGTTTGTTTAAAAGTCCCCAGGTGATTTTAATGTGCAGCCAAGGCTGGGACTCGCTGGGCGGGTGGGTAAAACTCAAGAGTGTTGATTTCAGCATCGAAAAAAGGACTTGCTATAACTTGCAATCCCCAGACTGGGAATTAGGAGGCTCCCTGCAGAATCCTGATCACCCTACAGGCCTTTCCCCACACCTGGAGACACCCTGGGCTCCCTGACTGTGACAGGCTGGGGCCCCCTGCGACGTCTGCAGCAACCTGAGGAAATCCAAACAGGGCAGCCCTCAGCGCCGGGGCCTCATTCTGCTGCTGCTCTCCACTCACTCGGCCTAAAACGTCAAGCCTGGAGCACTGCTCCAAAGTGAAAGGTGGGGAGGAAGGCAGAGAAGGCGTGAATAATCGAAAATAACAGGCAACTTGAGTCATTTATTTCTGGAATGCACGGCAAACTCTTTCTTGGGAATTTTTTTATAGTTCTAAAAGCTTCAAAAGCTTAACTCTAGAAAATTTGGAAAACAGAAAATATAAAGTAAGAATTTATAATCCTATAAGATGAAGATACTTATTGTTACTATCTTGGCTATTTTTATTTTGTGTGTGTGTGTGTGTGTAATTGAGATAATAAATACACGGTTTTCCATCTTGACTTGCTCACTACACAGCACATCAAGACTATAAAGACACTTTCACGAATATCATTTGTAATGGCCACATTATACTTAAGAGGACACCACAATTTATTCTCTATTTTTGGACATTTGAATTGTTCCCAGCTTTTTGTAATAAAAAGAAAACTGTGGTGACCATCTGCATACAGGGCGCTCAAAACACTTACTGAATGAGTGTTGTACACAAATCTCCAATTGGATTATTTCTCTAAAGTCTTATAAGTGAAAGTACTGGGTCATGGGTCAAAGGCATGAAACATTTTAAGTTCTCAACATACACTGCCAGATGATGCCAATGTACACTCCCTCCAACAGAGTATGAAATTGGCCATCTTACTGCACATTATAAAGAAAAATTATCACAAACTTGGAAATAAAGCAAGATGAAGAATGTATGCCTTCCCAAGATATACTAGCGTACTGATTACCAGGCTCACTTAAGGATTATTTATCTAGTGAATGTACCACTGTTTGACTTTGTTATTCAATAAAAGATCACCCTAAAGATTACAATTTTATTGTCCTGTAGGACATTAACCAGTTTTGTATTTATTAGAAAATTCATTTCAACATTCATTTGACTGACTGATACACACATTTCTGCTTCTCATATTCTCTTTCGAACCAGCTTTACCATCTTACTGGTTCCTGCCTTAATTAATGAGTTAAATAAAAGCTTTGACACATGTCCATTCTATATGTGTGCAGTCATGTTTTTAACTTTTTGAAAATTATACTGGGACAATATTTTCCTTTATTAAAAACAAAACTTTGAGAACATTGAATGGTTTCTATGGACAATAACATTTAAGTTATGTATACATTTTAGATTAATATTAAAATTAAATTGCATTTCCTGAATACCTATCTGCCAGGAACGAGGAGAGCAACCACACTCGAGCTAGGGCAGCACTTCGGGTCTGATGCGATGACCAATCTGTTTTAGGAATGTTCTAGGAAGTAATTAGCGTTCCTGATAAATGGCTTGAGCAATTTTCTGATAGACCTTAATGAGATCAAGAACTCCTGAGGAATTAAGGATGCCAATCCAGTGACTGACCAGCCTAATATCTTTAAGCTGGACTCTTTTCCTTCCCTATAAATGCCTCTAGCAAGAGAGAAATATTTCATTCGGCTTGTTCAGGAACCTCTGCCCTTATAACAAGTCTGATATAAAACTCTGACACATGCTTGGCATCAATTTATCTTAGCAGTTGCTTTAATACATATAACCCTGTAGGGCAGCCGAGATATCCGTAAGCACTAGGAATGACAAGAACAGTAGCTTCATCCCTGCTCCTCGACCACAAAGAGAAGGAATGGTGCCTTGTAGCTGGCATGGGTTCAACAAGAACATGGTATATGTTTGGGGGGCAGGTTCTTAAAAGGCAGTGCCTACAGGCGCAGTCTCTGGTTTCAGTACGGCATTTGCAGATGTCTTAGAATGGTCTTGTGGACAGGACGGAGAAGCAAGAGTAGGGGATATTTTAGCTCCGTGCAAGCAAACACTCTGTGCAGAGAAAGCTCTCGAGTGGGTCTGTGTCATCGGGAGGTCTGAGTGCACAGCCTGGGATCTTTTTACACTGACTTCAGCGGAGACACAAATGAGGTGTGTATCAAATGTGTAAATGACGTGAAGGTAACTGATACACGGGATGTCAGTAAAGGTCTCCAACTAGCTCAACAGGCCCGAATGATGAAATTTAACAGCATAAATGTGAAGGCCTGCTCTCAGGTTAAATACTCAACCGTATAAGTACAGGATGGCAGTGGCAGCGGGTGTATCTGCATGTGGGAAAAAGGCTCAGGGGTTTTAGTTGACAAGCAAGTGCCTTATGAATCCACAGTGAGATGTGGCTGCCGAAAGTTTTCTGGGGACGATGTCTAGAAAAAGAATGGTGATAGGTCTCCTCCAAATTTTGCTCGTCAGACAGAATCAGGAGAGCCGCATACAGCTCTGGGCACGGAGATAACCTGGAAAGTCTTTGGTAGTAGAGCTGGAAACAGCATCTCTCAAGGAACTGTGAAGGGACTGGGGACATATAGCCTGGGGGTGAGATGCCAAGGGGGCCATGACAGCTGTCCTCAAATTTGGGGAAGATGGCATACCCTGTAAGGGACTCAGTCTGTTCTGTTTAGCTCAGAGGGCAGAACAATGGGTGGCACTAACAGGAAGGCCAATTGTTGCTCACTGAAAGGAAGACCTTTCCAGAAGTTCCCACTGTCCTCAAATGGAATGAGTGGACCTGTGAGACAGGGAGTTCTGGGCCACTGCAGGTGTTCAAGGAGAAACTGGATGTCAGGCTAGGAACAAAAGAGAGGAGTGTCACCCGTCAGAAGAAGCTGGACCAGGTCTTTAAGCTCCCTTCTAACATTAGTTTTAGATACAGTATTTATATGTACCATAAGCTAGAATTTTTTAATGTAGCCACAGTGGCCGTCCAGGCAGTCCTCACCACCCTGAACAGAGACAGGGACCACGTGCGGCAGGACCTGCTGGCAGGACTGGGTCTGCCCTCCCGGACACAGGGAGGTTTTGCTGGCATGGAGTCTACCTCCTGTGCAGGCAGAGCAGGGCTTCGTCAAGCAGCTAGGCTTGGTCACCCCACCACCAGGGTTAAAGGCCAAGCTTCCCTTTGGTTATGGGTTTCCCAACAGGGCATTTTCTCTTACAGCAACATCTGGCACCGACATGTCCCTCTCTGCCCCACCCTTCCTGCCAGGAGTGGGAAATGCGGGCCAAGCAGGAAGCCTTCACAAAGGCTGGCACCATTCTCCCTTTGTCCATTTGGGCTCGGTTCTGTCTGGACTGAGACCTCAGACTGTTCATGGGCTGGTACAGAGACCAGAAATGAGCCCCCAAAACTCTGACAGCAGCAAACTGCAGTTCTGTGGACGCTCACTACTTCAGTTAAACACTGAATGCCTCAAAGAGCACGAGAGGCCATCATGTCCAGTGGTTTTCAAATTTTTCTGCACATCAGAATCCACTGGGGAGCCTTAAAAGTCTCCATGCTCAGCCCACAGCCCATCCAACTCTGTGGGCGTGGGCACCCACATATGTTTACAACTGGCCATGACTGCTCCGCACAGCTACATTTGAGAACCAGGGATCCAGCCCCTGGCTTCTCAGACTTGAGGTGCAAAGCATCACCTGGAGATCTTGCGAAAATGTAGATTCTGATTCAGCAGGTCTGGGGCGAGGCTCAAATTCTGCACTTCTCACAAGCTTCAAGGGGATGCTGATGCTGCTGGTCCAGGGACCACTGAGTAGTGAGACTCTAGCCAACTGACTGCTTCAACTCAGCTTTACCAGCTGGACTGATTTTCCAGAGGGGCTGCAGGAACCACTGACCGAGGGCTAAAGAGCAATTTGCTCTGTTCTGTGAGACAAGCTAAGGTTCTAACTCAGGAGCATTTCTTGCCTTTTGGGCTGCAGTCATCACTTGCTCTTCGTAGATGTCAAGGTTCTGGTTCATTAGCTCCAAGGCCTCCTTGCGGCTGGTGAGAGCTAGCGGGTTCGGACTCAAGATTGACTGGTGCTCGTACACGGCAGCCACGTAACATTCAACCTCTTGATGTTCAGCCACGCAATGCTCTCCGGTGTGGACTCCCAGGGCAGCCACGTAACAGCCGCAGAGAAAAAAAGCTAGCTGGCTGCTGGCTCCAGACATAATGCAGACCATACATCTGGAATGTAACGGGGCAAGGGGAAAACAGCTGAATAAAGAATCCTGCCAAGAATTTCACTTTCGCAGCTGTGATTTATTAATCCCAGCAGTTAAACTCACCCACCGTGATCCTGCAGCTCAAAGAGTTTGTTTCATGTTCCTAATAAAAGGGTACGTGTTTCTCTCCAAACACGTAGCAAGCTATGTTTAAAATGCCTCACTGTGTTAATAGCCTGATTTTAGAACATTTCCAAAACAGACCCAATGTTTGCCAGGATTTTCTTACCCAGTCTTCAGCAAGACGGCAGTGTGTCACTACACGCTTTTCTAGCTGCGCATTTAGGTTTTAGGCAATAATAATTATTCCGATTATTTTACAAAATTCTGGGACATATTCCACATCCCACTGCCTGCCCTCCTTACACACATACATCCTACAGGTCAACCATACCAGCTACCACTGTGGTGATCCTAATAATACAGCTCAGCCTTCCAGGCCACAAAACCTGAGGGATTAGAATTCTTCCCGCATTTCTTTGGTTAGTAATGCATATAAAGGCTAAGTCTCCCTTTACTGAGCACAACACTCTTTATTGGGACCAGGGAAACTGCTGACTTCTACTCAAATGCCAGCACCTACTCTCTGGAGTGGACAGGTGAAAAGAAGTCTCTGGATCAAAGCATGGCTTTTTTTCCTCCTTGAACTTGAGAACTGCCATTGCACATCAACCTCTGTCTCTGTGACTCCCGAACTCTTGGTCAAAAGCATACTCGTCTGGAAATAAAATCTTTTTGCAGGGACAAAATGCAATTTTCTAGAAGACAAACTAAAATTTTCTAGAAAGTAAACTCAGCTTGGTAGCTCCTACCATAAGAGATTAGAAGTAAATTACATCACTTATAATGACATCTTTGTGTGCCTTTTCTCCCCAAGAATAGGGATTTTTATTTCTAAGAGTTACGTGTTACTGTTTTAGAGTGAACAATCCAATTCTGCCTTGAGAATCAGCCTGCCCTCTGAGCTGAAGCCCCTCCCGTGGCACACAGACCTACTGGGGGGTGTGCCCAGGCCAGGCCACTTGCTCTGTGGAGATGTGCTGGGGCTGACCAATCGCCCAGGAATCCAGATTAAACATCAAGGTAACAAAGACAAATCAAGGAATCAAGTTGCTGCTCTTTAAAAAGAAAATGACACCCTGCCCAGTCTGACTCATAACTCCTGCGTTTGCATTTCAACACCAAACTCTCCAGGCCACAAATCTCTTTTTAATTTTCTCTCAAAAGTTCCAGAAACAAAAGTAACAATAATTATTTTCAGCAACAGAACAGGGACTAGGGATGCTCAGTCAGAATCCTCACAAAGTCCAATACCTAGAATGAGCGAGTTCTCCCCGCCAACCATGCCCCATCTCAAACCATTACTTCTTTCCCCAGGGAATAACTGTACCACCCAAATACCAAACCCCAGGACTCGCTGCCACTCATCTGGGACACTGTAAACAATGTTTTAAGATGAGAACAAGGGGCCTTTGAGTAAGCAGTCATGAGTTTTTGAGTAGAAACAAAAGTATATTTGATAAGCTTTCTTATCTGAATTTTGCCTCTGAAGACCAGCAAGGAATAATTTAAAAAGTCTCAAAATCTATTTTCCATTCCATCTCTAGTTTCATAATGATGGTAACAGGGAATGGTTTTGGGGGGAAAATTTTATCTTCAAAGTCATATTCACCATATTTCTAAAGTATAAGGCTATGGCCTCACTAAGAGGTGGGGAAACTGAGGCTGGGGGACGGGCGTGCGAACCAGTGCCAGTGGAGGCAGGTCGAGAGTTCCCGGGGCCGCGAGTGGTGTTCCCAGCACCCCCCTTTCTCAGGTAAGAGCTGTAAACCACCAATTTGGGGACACAAAACATTTGTTTAAGTTTCAAGGACTTGCAATCCTGCAAAACAAGGAAACTGCGGAACCAGCAAGATATCACATTTCTTTCTATTTTGAGAAAATAAAATTTAGATTATTTACAACAGGAGCCTGGTAGGAGAGCTGGAAACGGCAATCACTGTGTGTGAACAAAGGCAGGTCGATAACAGGAGGTTATGCAGATTCAACCAGGTATTCATGCTTGAAAGAAGCAAGCTTAATGAGGTGGGAGAGAATGAGCAATTATAATAAAAATAGGTACAACAGTTTGCCCTTCGGAAGAGTGGTGAAATAGCAGCCATTTTCACCAAGTCCGCCAATGCTGGCTTTCCCTCTTTATTTGGCACCACTCAACTGTCGCAGGAAAAACCAAACAAGGCCTGAGGCAGGGATTTTGAAGGGCTCGGCAGGCAGGAGAGGGGGCGTTAGTGACCAGGCAGGACGGGAAGGGCTGAGGCAACACCAGCCGTTTCCAGGGGTTGCCAGGTGCTGGCTCATGATAGCGAGCACAGGTGGGCTGGGGTGTGGGGGCTCCCTGGGAACAATGGGGCCTGGAAGTCAGGGGGTTCTTGGGAATCCAGCAACTGATCTATCTTGAAGGCTGGCCAGGACCTGGACCACATACAAAATGGTGACCAGAGACGTGTGCCTGGTCTGACAAGGTAGCTACGCACTCTCTGCCATCGGAGGGCATTTGCCATGTGAGACTAAACTGCAGGAAGGGCCCGGCATGGATGCACCGTCGAGGAGACAATGTGCTTCCCTACCCTGCTTCATATACTCTCAGGGCTCACCACAGCCCACTGGGATGGGGGCATCAGCTAGGGAGGCGCCGGGAATCCTGCTGCCAGGCAACAGCAGAGCTGGGAGGGCGCTCACCTCAGACACTCACGGGACACCTGGGTGTGAGCCAGACGCGGGGCAGGTGTCAGGGACACAGCAGTGAACGAGCCCAGCCCTTCCGCGTGGGGCCCCCGCTCTGGATGTATGAGGAGACCGACCACAGTCAAATACATACCTAGTATGGCGCATGGCGATAAGTGCAGAGGAGAAATACAGGGGAGAGGACAGGGAGGGCCCGGCCTGGGTGGGGGACAATTTTAAACAGTACAGTCAGGGAAGGCCTCCACGAGAAGGCGGTGTCTGAAGGAAGTGAGAGAGGAGGCCTGGGGGAAGTGTTCCAGGCAGAGGGAATGGCTCCGTCAAAAGGCCCGAGTGGGATTTTGCTGGGTGGTTCAAGAAACAGCAAGGAGAGCAGTGGGTTGGAGCCCGGGGACCAGGGAAAGGCGGCAGAAAGTAAAGTAGGAGAGAGAAACAGGGGCCGGCTCACTGGCCCTGCAGTTGCCCGTCCTCTTCCATTCTCCTCTGTTACAGCAGCCCCGTGAGAGCCAGTGAAAGCCTGAGTCAATCTCCCAGTGACTCCCCACTGCCTGCGGAGTAAAAGCCAAAGAGCTTAGAGCAGCCAACGGGAATGAGCCCGGAGACAGGAAATCACTGATGGGTGGCGAGAGAACTGCTGGGGTGACATCTTTAAGCAAGCATCCTGATCTTTTAACTGCCCTACAGAAACCCCTGCTTCTCATTTCATAATGAAAAATGATCCCCCGACGCTAATCCTGATCAGGAAGGTTCTTTCGATCTATGAGGACAAGAAATCAAAGTCTAAATTACATGGAAATCTATTTTGTGGAAATTTGGTAACATGTCAATCACTAGATATTTTTACACCAAAGGAACTTTTATTTTCCACCTTGCTAAATGACTCATTTTGATAATTAGCTGCGTTTCCTTCCTAGCCATGCTATTACAATAATGTCTTTTGCAATAAAATGAAAGGATTATTATTAAGGTATTCTTAAGATAATTTCAGAGGCAGGTGTATATATTTAAAATTTTATATATAGACCTATTCATCTTTTTAATAAAAGATCTTGTCACTCTTACTCGTCAGGGAGAAAAACAGTCCAATGATTGGAAAAAGAGGCAGGAAAAGTCAGCAGAGGAAATGTCATATCCTCTGGAACAAAGCCGGAGGGACCTGCTAAGTCACTAGGAATCAGCACAGTACACGTTTCTATGTATATCTTGACAGTGCTTGCCAAGAAAAGCCCTGTGAGGTTCCAAAGAGAGTTTTAAATTTATTCTCAAGATTTTTGCCAATTCCTTGACCAAATCCTTTTACATAAGGAGGAGAAATAATGTCCATCTCCACCTAATTTACATAATCTGAATTTAAAGCAGTCTCAAGAGAGATCTTTTAGGGCCGGCTCCGTGGCTTAGCGGTTAAGTGCGCGCGCTCTGATGCTGGCAGCCCGGGTAAATAAAATCTTTAAAAAAAAAAAAGAGAGATCTTTTATTTTCTAGAAAGCCTTTGTTTCCTGGTTTTCCCCTCTGATGATGCTAGAAGTGAGCTGTCCAGGACCGACCCCGGAAGAAGCAGCCCCACAATGGTTTTAGCTTGGACGGCTTCGTGCAAACCCATCCACCAACAAAACTGTTGACGTCTCAGTTGTAAATGTCAAGTGTAAACACTTGTGAGCGGCAACGACGATGACGTCGAAATTCAAAGCTGAACTCAAAATGGTGAATGAATTACCAAGTCCTCTGAGTTGAACTAGTAAGTTGTGATTTCACTTTTTAAAAAATTCCAGCTATTATCTTCAAACAAGAGAGTGACATACAGGAGCGTACCTTTGGACCAGGCCTTTGATTAAGGCCTGTTTCTGCTCCATTGACTAGAGTAAGTCATCTTAGGACACGAAATGAGCAATCAGAGGACCGTGACACTGGAACCTACATACGGTACGTCATCCTTCTCTTCCTCAAATTATCTTCATAATTTAAAGCAAATAAAACTTCTCCCTGAAATGCCCAGGTGTTGAATGCAAGAAGGCGCTTTCTTTCTCGTTTTGTCGTGCGGACGAAGAGCCCCAGCTGAGGCTGCCTCCACAGGCTTGCTACTGCCATCCTGTGGACAACTCGAGTATCATCAGCCCAAGTGGGTATGTGCTCTTAAGTCCCACAGTGCAGAGGGGTTCTGAAGCACTAAATGGACAGTATGTTTCTTCTTTGTCTTCTCCTTTTCACTTCTAACACTTCATCTATCTCTTTTACAGTAGAAAAACTAGAAAACATTTGATTTTCCAAGATCTGG